ATGCTCATTTTGAAATGACCGATCATTTTGGTCATTTATCATATAAATTTATATGACTCGATCATTTGCCAACACTGCCTAAGGCAAGATATATCATATATAAAATATCACAAAAATGGTAACCAATCAAAATCATTCATCTGGTATATCTAATGAACAGGAAGTTATCAGACAAACGAAGAAATTAGCCCAAATGTTCAGACTAGACGAGCAAAATGCAGAAGTATATACTGCATTTTCCGGTGAAAATAGAGCACTAAAGAAGCAATTGGAAGATTATCATTCCTAATATAACACTTTAGAAAGGAGGGTAAAAAGATTGGAAAGATATGTAGGATCCTTAAAAGAAAAATTAGAAGATCTAAATGAATGTGTAAATAGGGAGACTGTGGTCAACTTAATAATGAAATAGTTCTCTCGCTGATTGGTAAAAAATGGTCAAAAGGCGCTATGCAAAAGATTTTTCCTACTCGTCTATGATTGATTCAGGCTCTAGTTTAAATTACATTATTAAAAAAATCCTAAAGGGGAAATAAGAATTTTTCCTATTCGTTTGAGTCTTCTGAAGAATCTGATTCAGTTGAGATAATTGAGGAGTTCAATAAGTGCCAAGTAAGAGAAATAAAGGCTATCTCTAATAAGCAACGAAGGAAAGTGCGACTAAGAAAAGTTAAGCGGTTAGTAGTCTGAAGTAGGCTGAGTCAGGCACTTTACATATTTTTTAATCAAAGTTATTAAGTTTAATACATAAATAATCAACATGGAAAGTGACCAAAACATCTGACAGCCTTAACTAATATTCCGCTCAAGTCTACTTTGCTTGAGACTAGTTCATCTGAATCCAGTTCATCCGATTTTGATATTAATGAAATAGTAAATATGATTAAGCATCAAAGGATTTGGAAGCACATAGCTCGACGAAGAGATCAGGAGAAAAATGCATATAGCAAAAATAAGATTAATCAACTTCCTGATCACCTAATTGGTCTGGAGCAGTAAATAGAGGTTTATTTTTTATATCTGAATATTATATGCTATAATAAAAAATGGTGTTCATGAATTACTCAGTTGAAGAAACTGACCTTACTTAAGTAGTACTCAATACAAGTGCTGATGTAAGTTGTACTAGTAAAAAATATATTGATGAAATAGGAATGGTATATGAAAAAGATGATATTAATCCTAGAGTAAACGGGATTTATTTCACATTAAGGAAAGCTAATCTATGTTTTACCTTTAATAATGGCAAGAAGTATAAAAGCATAACTATTGAATTTATAGTTGTTGGATTAGATTGCCTAGATCATTTTCCTGATTTAATCTTGGGAATACCATGGTTGCGAGAAAATAGTGCAACTTTGAATATATGCAATTCAAAATTATTATTAGACGATAATTTTGTGATCCCATTCGAAAAAGTAAATTACATTTCGACATTATCTGATAGTCAAATCTGAGCTATGACTGATTTTCCTAGCTCAACTGATAGTCCGGAACAGTGATTTATCAGTGGACTAGGCTCAGAATATTTTTTCGATTAAAGATACAACATATAATACAGACTATTTATAATGCATTTAACCATATTTTATTTACCAGAACTATTAGAACAGATTTTACATTTCTTATCGATAGATAAATCCCTCTATCCCACTCTATATGTTTCCTGATTATGGTACAGATGCAGTGCTCTTATTTTATGGAAACGCATTAAGCTAGAGTGGACATAATACTCTCAATTAAAAAAATTTATGAAAATGATACGGAGAAGATCAAAGCTGATTTTTAGCTCAAATCTAGTACATCTAGAAATTTCACACTACCATCCACTTTCAGATAAAAAATTCAATGACATTGCGTACTTATTCCCAAACATAGTTCATTTAGATTTAAATTTAGCACAGGATTTAGCGATAAAATACTAAGTCGAATAGCAGAGACATACTCCAATCTGAAATATCTCAATTTGTAAAAGAGTAGGTACATAAGCCGTAATGATGGGATAGTGACTGATAAAGGTCTATGCGTAATTGCATGGTTATGCCATAAACTAGAATATCTAAATATTTCTAAACGCATAGATATTACTAAAAAATCAATTTTTAATGTTATTCATTCTTGCCCAAGGCTCCAACAATTTGATTTTAGCTTTTGTAAAATTACCGATATAACTATTGAAGAGATTGCTAGTTCGTGTCTTAATTTAAAGTATCTCAAATTGGAAGAATGTGATAATGTTAGCAAAGAAGCCATAGATCAGCTCATTTCACTTAATCCAAATATTCATGTTGAGAATTTCGTATGTACTATAATACTAGCCTCTTTTGATGCATATTCTGGGATGTATGAACTGTCAAGAAGACTGGGAATGTCAGTTGATGTACCAAGAGATATTATGTCTATACATGATTATGTTAACAATGAACTAATGAGAAGAATGGACATTATTAGAGCAAGCATTAGGATTTTGCAAATGATCTAATCAGAGGGGTTTTTTCTGATCCTTTACGTATGTATGATAAAAAAAATATAAATTAGCTAACCTGTTCTAGACATGTGCATTGATCGGTACTAGCTGAATTTTTTATGAAAACTTTATGCAATTGTTGAGAAAAAAGTTTCAAAAATAATGGAAGCCCTTCTCAGGTAAACCAAATTTTCTTTACTTTCACTTCACCACATTTTTTTAGTATTACATCTAGACTATCTTTTAAGGGACCATGAAATTCCTCAAACTTTTAAAGATATGTTCTTGCTTCTTCATCAGCATCTTCCATCTCTGATTGGTTAGTATAACCAGCAATGTGAAGTTCTTTCAGAATTATTACTATATCATCTTCTAAATATAAGATCAATATAAATAATTCTTTAGATAATATATCAGTAGAAGCTCTATTGCTTCTAAGCTCCACTTCTAGAATGGGATTGCCATCAATATTGAGATTTTTCTATATCAATATTATATCCTCTACTAAAGATAATAACAACTCATATGTATCAGCAAGGGTTTTTGCTTTTTTGATTTGATGGGTTACTGTTTGATTTGTATTACCATTAAAACCAAGTTTTTTCTGAATAGCTTTTATATCCTTCTTTGTATATAAATAGTATCATATAATTGAGCAGAAGTATTATTAGTATTTCTTGTCATGATTGTGTTTATCTCTAGTTAGCATATATTCAATTTTGAGTCTGGAATATTGATCATCAACCGAAGCGGTGATCATTAACTCAGAAGAATTTACTAAACCACAGATTGTGTGACAAAAAAATATAGATTAACTAACTTATACTCGACATAGGCATTGGTCTGTGCCAGCTGATTTTTTTACAAAAATTTCGTGCAATTGCTGAGGAGTAAGATTTGGAAATAGAGGAAGCCCCTCTCTAGTAAATCTAATTTTCTCTATTCCCATTTTACCATATTTCAGTAATATCACACCTGGATCATCTTCTAAGGGACCGTAGGATTCCTCAAGCTTTTGGAGATATGCTCTTACTTTTTTATCAACTTCTTCTGCCCTTTCTTGATTAGAATAACCAATAATACCAAGTTCATCTTGAATTGCTATTATATCCTCTTCTAGGCATAAAAGCAAGTTAAATATTTTTCTATATGAAATATCTGTAGAAGCTTTATTACTTTGGAATGCCTCTTCTAGAATTGGGTTCCCATCAATCCTGAGTTTCTTCTGTATCGGTATTATATCCTCCATCAAATTTAATAATAACTTATATGAATCAGCAAGTGTTTTTCACCTTCTTGCTTCAATGTTTGCCATTCGATTTGCATTACCACTAATACCGAGTTTTTTTTGAATAGCTATTATATTGTTCTTCTTATATAATAGCACTTCATATAATTGATTAAGTGTTTCGGGATTATTTGCCATGATTGCTATAATAAAGTAATATATTTAATATAGAAATTTGTCGAAGATGCTTTGCCTGAGTCCAGAATACTGGTCATTAGCCCAAAGCAATGATCGCTAGCTCAAAAGACTTAGCACAGATTTTTGCGCAATGATAAAATAGCCGATCATCAGTCAGGTCTTATGCAACATATTAATTTTTGCATATATATTCGAAAAGACATATTAACCTTTATTCTTTATTTTTTCCCCAACCAAATATAAGGAAAATGTAAAAGAAGGTCTAGTTGCAAGACAGGACCTACCGTAAAAGTAGATATTAACGGCAAAAGCATATGTTATGAAGGGCTGAGGATCTTGCAATTTAGAGATTGCCAGGTGTAAAGTTACTTTGAGTCTTTCTGGTAGATCTACATGTGAAAAGGTACAAAAATTTCACTTGCATGTGCTTTTATAGAGCTCTTGGCATCATACAACAATCCTAATTGTACCTTGTATCTCCTTAGTTTTTTTTACAGCAAGATATAAAGCATGTAGGAGTATGTGGAAGTTCAGCCAACCTTCCCGCAAAAAAATCCTAGAAAACATAACGTAAAATAAGGTATGTATATACCATAAATTATGTATGTATAGGAGCGAGTTTTTCTTACTATAGGCTTGTTAACTATAGATAATAAAAACAAATGACCAATACAAATCCTATCAAACTTAAGTGCGGTTTTCAATATTGGCAGGATGAAAAAAATTTTGTGATTGAGGTTTGCAAAGAAGATAAGGTTACCACTCTTGAATCTGCCGTTAAAATTTTATTAGCAAATCAGGGTTACTAAGTTCTCTCTCTCAGCTTCGACTTCTATGTTGAAGATAAACTCATAGAATCAACCAAAGAGATCTCTAAGTATTTCGATAAGCCTCTTGTTCAGGATCAAGTTCACATTTCCATAAAACCTAAGAATAAATAATATTTTTTATTCATATCATGTAGCGATATAGTCACAATTTTATGTATTGTAGGCTGACTTCTGACAACGTTTTTGATTTTTTAAATAAAGCATATATTACATTCTATCGTAAATCTTGAAAAATGTCATGTGAAATGATGTAATATAATCACCTGACAGTTCTGTATTACATCTTAATTGCATATATATATTGGGCAAATGCATTATAAATCAATACAAAAAAATCTATCATTTCCACCCGAACGTTAAAACCAAAAATACTTTTATATTCATAAACCAGCTTTACCTGTAACTGCATATTTTTTCGTAAGCACAAACTCACATATATAACAACCATGTCTTCACAAGCCTCTAAACCTTCTTCTCCAAGCTCAATAACGAAAGAAGTTTCTTCTCAAATAATGTCAGACGTAGTTAAGGATTTTAATACAGAGAAGCTTATCGATTATTTAGGGAAGAAAAACTTAAAACTCGATAAAGATGATATTAAAATTCTTCTGATAATTTCAAGGAAGTCAGCCCAAACAATTTGCTCGAAACCATAGACAATTACTACAAAATGATCATAGAAGAATGTGCGAAGGATTGTGAGTATTTTGATAAGGAAATTGATTTTACGTCACAGTCAGTAAAAGAAACGAATGAAGAGGTTGCTTCACAATCAGGGGGAGAAATAAACGAAAGTAAGTCAGACAATGACTCTGATTCCAATGATTCTGAAGAGGAGATGCTAGACGATTTAGATGATAATGGATATAATGGATATGGTGGATACGGTGAATACGGTGAATATAATGAATATGGTAAATGTGATAGAGGTTATTATTATCGTGATGGAAGATACGAAAGGCAAGTCTTACTAATGATGAGTCCTATTATCTCTCTAGTAATTGCTTAGAAGAATTATTAGGCGAATTAATTACTCATATTGACTGAATCGTATATTTCTTTTTTCAAATCACGTGGGTAGCTTAGATATCGTACATAGTAAAACGTCATTTATTCTTCTTTACAGTAATTATGTTACATGTTTTATAATATTGAATTCACTCTTCTAAAGTCAAGAGTATAGTTCGTAAAAAGAATAAAAGACATTTCATTCACACCATCGGCAACTTCAACATCAGCCAATGAGACTCAGCTCAAAAGTATTACAGTAATAGATACAGAATTACGAGAACTTATTCATCAAGGACTACTTTAGTAGTTGATGAAGTTCATGAAGTATTATCATATGATCGAAAAAATATGCCTTGGGTTGATAACTTTCGATTAAGCTCAAAAATCAATACGATGATCTAAGAGAAAAAGCATATCACTTCTTAATGAGAGAACTCTTTAGCATGAAGGCATTTCGTGATACATCCAATCAAAATAGTCTCATTTCTAAGGCAGAATATTATGGAAATAAAATAGACAACCACAAAGCGGATTTCATTATTCAAATAGGGGAAGGTAAAAAAGGGTGGTTAAGTCATGGGTCAGTTGCGATATTATGTTAAGTGGCAATTACAGAAGAAGTAGTAGATTTGCTTAATGATGCTAAAAATAAAAGTCCAGAATCTCGTGGTCAAATAATCATTTTTTAGAAGTTATAGCACAGACCTCTAATTTTACAGATATGGACATGTGATTACTAATAAACCGTATAGGCCTCACGTCAGTCACGTAAGGGTGACTTATATAAAATATTCTTCTGCAGTATATGTTATGCAGTATATGTCATTGACATTATCATATAATTAGCCAGTAGATCCTGCTTCTATTGGTTGGAAGTGAGAAAAGTCTTCACAATTATCATATAACACAGCATGTATCAGCGGGTATGTCTCAAACTTTGCCTTGAAGAAAAAAAAGCTAGAATAGAGAAATATCGTTTAAAAAAATAATCATGTATAGTAGTCTACAGTCATACAGTAGAATGGTTTCAGTAGGGCGAAAATAGGGTTTCTGGGACAGATTTTAAAATAGTATTCAGAAAAGATTCCTGACCGCCTGCGAACCCATTTTAGCTATATGAATCAATTATCAAATTCAAACTTCTAGTGCATTTTGACTCAATTCTAGATGATGTTATCGAACTTGACTAGGAATTAGCCTGTCTAATACCAAGAATTATAATGTTTGATTTAACCATTCTAGCCTGATTTTAATCCCAAATAATATTTCAAAAAAATTTTACTATTCTATTTGCCT